ATGATAACTGTATTGTTCAAATTTTTTTTACTGACCTGTTTGGTGTAACAGAATTTTTTCTTCTTGCCACCATGTCCTATGATCGATATGTAGCCATCTGCAAACCCCTACATTATGTGACCATTATGAACAACAAGCTCTGTAGAAGTCTCATCCTCTGTTGCTGGACAGCTGGCTTGTTGATCATACTCCCACCATTTATCCTGGGACTAAATCTAGAATTCTGTGACTCAAACATCCTTGACCATTTTTTCTGTGATGCATCCCCTCTTATAAAGATCGCATGCTCAGATACACGGCTCATAGAACAGATGGTCATAGTTAGTGCTGTGTTGACCTTTATCATGACCCTTGTATGTGTTGTTCTGTCCTACATATACATCATCAAGACTGTTCTATGCTTCCCTTCTTCCCAGCAAAGGAAAAAGGCATTTTCAACCTGCTCTTCCCATATGATTGTGGTTTCTATCACCTATGGAAGTTGTATCTTCATCTATGTCAAACCCTCAGCAAAGAGTTCAGTGGCCATTAATAAAGGTGTAACAGTCCTCCTGACTTCCATTGCTCCTATGCTGAACCCGTTCATTTATACACTGAGAAACAAGCAAGTGAGACAAGCCTTCAATGATTCAGTCACAAGAATTAAATTGCTCTTAAAGAAGTCAGAAAATATGCTAATATAAAGCAGCTTGATTTTATTAAAAACCTAAACATTTCTAAACATGCTCGAGTTTATATAGATATATAGATCATTGGAGAAAAATGATGCTTTCTGCTCCTGAAAAGATTTACAGCTGGGAAATAGCTCAATGGCAACAAATATATATTTGTTGTTGTTGTTCAGTGCCATTGAGTTAGTTAGAGAGAGAGCATGCTCTGTCAGAGTAGTGATTGGGAGTTGGACTGCTAACCTCAAAGTCAGTAGCTCTAAATTGCCAACCAATCCAGTGAGAAAGATGAGATTTTGTGCTTCTCTAAAGAGTTACAGCCTCAGAAGCCCTATGGAGGGTCGCTATGTGTCGGAACGGACTCCACGGCATAGAACCACCACCACCACCGACATCATGTCAATTCTGATTCACAGGGCTACTATATAGGATTTCTTAGACTGTAAATCTTCACAAGAGTAGACAGCCTCAGCTTCCTCAGCACCATCAGGGGTCTATATATATTTATATTTATATTTATATTTATATATATTACATATATTTCATAAAATATATATAAAGAGATATATGTCGATTTAGGCTCTTCATTCTTTTCATTCCTGGAAACAAATCTGCTTCAGAATAATATTTCTCAATAAGAGACTATTATGCATTTTTAAGAAACAGAATTCCTTAACTTTTAAATAATCTTAGACAAAAGTGCAAACAAAACAAAATAAAATAAAATGGAGCAATGAGTTTATCATACATTTTTATACAGTCCTTGTGCTAATTGCCTTTTCCAATATTAG